GGCGCCTCGCTCCTCGCCTGCAGCCGGTTCCCCGAGCTCCGGGGCTGTGGCCCACACCCGGGGAGAGGGGAAGGCCGGAGCCCGGGCTGGCCGAGCGCGGTGGGTGCTGTGGGTGGCCGAGCCCCGCGCAGGGAACGGCCGCAGAGCTGCTCTGGCCTGACTCACTGCTCTCCTTCCCCCGCAGACCCAGACACCCGGGGACGGCTGCTCGGACCGCAGGTGCCAGCGGCCTGCGGGGAACCTGCAATGGCAGCAGCGGGTCCCTCTAAGGAGATGCAAAGCTGCCGTGTCTGTGTTACCCTCTGTACTTCAGCACCGGTTCCCTGTTTACTAACTCCGCTCACCGTCCTCTCTGCCTCCAGTGGTGTGTAATGTTGATGTGAGATGATCGTTACCTCTAGGGCTAGTCCTTGCTGATGTTGTACTAGTGACTTTCTCTTCACCTTCCTCGTGCTGTGCGTGTGATTCGGGCTCTGTACGACTGGCAGGCGCTGCCCCTCGGGGCCACTCTCCCCCGAGCCCAGGAACGGAGCCGCAGCCCCCGGGGACTCCCACGTCCCCACGGTGCCGTCCGTGTGCCGGGCGGTGCTGCTGGCAGGTGCCCGTAGTTCGCCCTGGCTGGCTTGGGCAGGGCTGGGGGAGACGGCCCGCAGTGCCTGGGCCTGCCCAGCGTGGCTCTGGACCGCGCCATGCAGCCTCAGCAATAATCCTGCTGCGCACCCCCAGCCCAACGGCCGCCGCGGTGCGGGGCGAGTCGGGCAGGGACGCCCCGCGGCTCCGCTTCCCTCGGCGCTAGCACCTGGGTGCCGCATTCAGGGCTGAAGGGAGCTCCCCTTTCCCACCTGCTCAGCTCTCCCCATTTCTGTCCCTGGCTAAAACCCAGCTGTCGGTGTGGGCTGCTGCTCTAAAGGTGAGGAGATGCTGTGGCGGCAGAGAAGCCCGTGAAATCCCCCCGCACGGTGACACTGTGAAAGAGGGCGGCTGCGCAGCGGTGGCCCTGCTAACCAGCACAAAACAGCTCCTCGCCAACCCTGCCTGCCACGAGACAGGCGGGGGCAGGTTAAACAGTCTCTGAGGGCTAAAAAGAAACACGGACTGAAATAAAGATCCTGTCCCTGCTTGTCTCGGGCAGGGAAGGGGCAGCAGCGTTTCCCCGTGGTGCTCCCTGCCCTTCCTGATGCCTTCTTGCCGCCTGGGCCGTGGCCCAGGACACGGCCACCCGTGTCAGCACTGTGTGTCGTCCCGTGGCGGTTACGTGTCGTCAGCCCCCGGTGCCACCCTCCCCTTCTCCCCGCGGAGCCGCAGCGGCGAGCGGTGCGTGGGGGCTTTGTGCACCTGAGCTCACGCAGCGGCTGGCTCTGGAGGGGCAGAGCCTGGAGTCCATCGTCGCCTTGTGTCCGCTCGTGGGTCGGAGGCAAATCTGTGAGTCTGGCCCCTTCCCTGAGCCCGTGGGCAAGTGAAACCGTGGCCGCAGCTGGGGCCGGGGGCTGCTGGGCAGCTCGTGGGCACTTGCCGGGGCAGGGTCAGCCCGGGCAGCAGCGGGGGACCCCCAGGGCTGCCCCAAAACACTTCTCAGTGCCGTCCACGGGCCGGGAAGGGGCTCTTGTCCTCCAGGATGGTACTGAGAGGGGTTTCTGCTGTGACCCCCCACCCTGGCCCTGCCTCCAGGGTGGGCTTTGCATCCCTCGGTGCTGGGAAGCACGCTCTGTCCCACCTGTGCCAGGCAGAGGCACCGTGTCTCCGGGACCGCGTCCCTTCCCTTCCTCCTGGCCGCTTCCGAGAGCTCCGCTCACCTCCGCGCAGCCCAGCCCCGGGTGCCAGCTGTGTGCGTCCCGCCTCGGCGTGCCCGTGCTGTCTGTAGTGTGCCGTCGGTGTTAACACGAAACAAAGAAATCCCTGTGGTGTGTAGAAATGGCCAAATCCTGACTGTTGTAAAATAAACTGAGCTATTGTGTTTCCTTTTAAATAGGCAACTGTGCTGCTGTGGTGAAGGACTGGTGTGTTCTGTGCTGTGACCTAACAGGGGGAAGGAATAAAATATCGTTTCTATCGGTGCCTGGCTGCGTCGTCTCAAGGGCCGGGGCATTTTCCAGGGGTGCGGGGCCGGGGCCGAGGGCTCCAGCTCTTGGGGGTGGCTGGCTGGGCTGGGGCAGGGTGGGAGCAGGGGCTGTGCACCCCGGGCAGCACAGACGGGCTTTGTGCTGGCAGTGCCGGGCCGGCCGAGCCCCCTCCCTGCCCCGCTCTTTTCTGCAGCCAGCAGCAGTTTCCACAATAGCCAGAGACCACGCGAAGGGAGAGCGTGAGCGGCCAGCCTGGCGGCACAGAGCCCCCTTGTCCCTCGGCCTCGCGGAAGCTTCTGTGTCCTGGCCACTCACGTGCCGATCGAGGGGGTGCTCAGCACCAGACAGCCCCACGCACCCCTCTCCCACCTGGCTTCGCTCTTCGCTGCCGTGGGCCCCAAGCACCCCT